CTTGTCAACCACAACTAAACCCATTTTACACGTCTACTTAAGATTTTGGTAGCCAAAACCAAAACAAGGAATTTATAAAGAAGGTCCACTATACCATTATGCCAAATTACTTAAAACCATCATACAAAAGGATGTGAAAAAATAGCAGTTTGAAAATCTAATGCAATTGGGCGGAAAGGTAGATTGATAAATGAAGCTTTATTTATCGAATCAAATGTGAACACGTGCAACAGGAATGACTTGATGCCTATAGAGGACATCTGGAAATTTCTACTGCCTGTAGCGATAGATAATTTGGCCATTTGGCACGAACTCGTGTTATCTTAATTCTTTTGTTCGTGCACGATCCCTAGCTAGTTAAGCAATCATCTCGCACTCCGATTTGGTCCTGAAATATAACTCGTAATTTGGATGATCAATTCTGGTGTCTTGCTTTGCCTTTCTTTGGTCTACGCGAGACGAATACTATCGAAGGTGTAGGTGTTAGATCTTGCGTCAGTATACTTCGTACTATCCGTGGACGTCCTTACCCCCAGTCTCTAAAGCGGTTAGCCCTATCACGAACTTCATCTTTGGTAAACACGCAGACAAATCCGGTAAGTTCGTTCCTTTTCGTAATTGTGCTGTTTTTATAGTATATATATATATTTTTTTCACCATGAGTTACCAAACGCCTCAGGTCATACATATTCGAACAACTAGCAAAACTATTCAACACGCGCCATTTCGGCCAGATAACATTGCATCATAGTTACAGATAGCCGAGTGTGATTTCAGTGAACACGGGTTAACTGACCAACGTTTACAGTTCCTTGCAGGAAGAAAAAGTAAGTACTATGAGAATCGAGTTTGAAATTTGTCTAGTTAGTTACAACTTATATGATTATGAAAACTAAATTGTATTCGAAACGTTATGTTGTATATACGCCTGTTTAACTGTGTAATACATCCAATTAATCAATTAATTAATATGGAATTATACACAGCCTTACTGCTCGAGTTTTGGACACGAGTTGATTCAAAAACTCTTATTTTCTAATGGATTCGAAAGTCTCCACTAAAAACTGAAGTGGTTTAGAACACCTGACCATCCCAGTACGTTATCAGGATAATACAGGAGACTACACTAGTGAGGAGATCTGTCTTATTGATAAAACCATTACCTTTCAATAGTTGGTTTGTAAGCATTAGATTTGTTTTTACGAGTTGATCACGGACGGTTATCACTTAGAGCACCATTGAAAATCAGTACTGGAGTGCTACACAGCTGTTTTATCCTGTTACTGCTGATGATTCCCAAAAACTAGGATGAAACAGTTGTCCAGTACTCCAGTACAGGTTTTCAATGGTTGTCTAACTGATAACAGTCCGTGATCAACTCGTAGAATAATAATAGTAATTTGCTTTATTCCAAAACAGTATTTGTGATACAGAATGGAATTCTCGGCAATCCACTACAGTATTACATCCAGTTAGTACATTATCAGTAAATAAAATTCTACAAAGATTAAGGGTAATCTCGGTTAGTTTTGACAACAACATATTAGCATGTCGATAACAAAGCCAAAAGTGAACAGAATGTTTGAAGGTGTTGAATGTGAATGTTGAAGGTGCTAGCATATTTACTGGCGTAAGCGATAGCAAAATGGACGAGATATACAGAGAGTGAAAGAACAAACAAGAATGTTTTAAGTAGAGTTTGTAAGGAAGAGAGAAACAAAACAGCACATAAGAAAAATAAAGACAAAAAAAGGTAGAGAGAAAGGAAAAGAGAGAAAACGTTGTACCTATAAATGATATGAGTTGTAAAGACGAGATCCAGTTGTTCTACTTGCTATTTAATAAGTTAAAGGTTTCACGCCTAATGCTTTCTTTATCGCACAGAACACGAGCTGTGTAGGGTATGGTTGAGTTTTTGTAATTGCTAGTGCGAGCATATCGTTTTCTATAGAGGCTTCTGGTCCTGCCTTATGAGATACAAGGGGAGAGTTGTGAATGGAGAGGGTGGTGTGAGTTAGATAAAATAGATTTAGCCCATTTTTCACATGAGTCCAAGTGCCTGTTGACTAGAGAATTAACAAGCTGGTTGAGTGGCATATTGCTTACCTTGCTGACAACCTTTAACATCCTTCGTAATAAGGTTTAGTCTTTCTTCAGTAGCCCTGGAAAAATTAAGGGGGAACAATAGAGAATAATAGGCAGGATGCAAGAGTTAACGAATCCTAGGAGTAAGGGTTGGGTTACACCAGAATGTCTTAACTTCTTGATGTAGAAGGTAAGACGGTATATTTTCTTAGAAATCGTCAAGATATGAGACGACCAGGAAAGATTAGAAGATAAAGTGACGCCTAGGTATTTAATTTCCGACTTGGTTCCGACTTCGGTGCCGTCTATGTTGCAGACCTCGTGAGTGCTAACCAGTTTGTTTAGGTCAGATTTATGCCTAAAATTGAAATTGAGTGTTTGAAATTTAGAGAGGTTTAAAGTTAGACCATTTTCCTTGGACCACTGGTTGATTTCTGATAAAAAGCCATTTAGTTTGGAGCAGTCACTTTGACATTTGACAAGCAAAGATACAGTCAGGTCGTCAGCATATTTGACAAAATTAATGTCATTTGAAGATGGTAGGTCATGTAGAAAGAATGAAAAGAGAAGTGGGGAGAGTACAGCACCTTGGGGGACACCAGCTTCAGTGAGCACAGCAGAGGAGGATTTACCTTTCTATACGGTGTACTGCATTCTGTTAGAGAAGTAGGAATGCAACCAGTTAGTCACCTAGGACTTATTTTGTGTCATAGAGTGCTTACTATTATTATTATGACTAATTGCCCAATTTATATGCACAATCTTATTATCAAAATGACAAAACACCGTGACATGTTTATATTTTAATAGATATTTGTAAAGTTATGTTTATTAGAGTTGAGCCTGATGAGGCCTAACTGAAAACACGACACTTTTCGTTTAAATGTGTTGTTTTAAACCGCATTAATTCGTCCCTACTTCTTGTATGCTGGTGACAAGTGGATTCAAAATGAACCATAAAGACTTCCCCCTAACTACTTGTCAGTATATAGTCATGAAATGAAGTTACTTTTTCTGTGGAATAGCAAAACTAGTCTTACCACTACTAGTTAACTTGCTGTATTGTATGAAACGAACACTAATCTCCCTTGCTTTTACACATCATGCAACTGCTTCCTCAGAAAAATGCACAAATTATCTACTTTTATATATATTCACTTTTTTGAAATAGTACTCATCCCTTTATTTCAAACGATAATAATCATATGGGAGGGAATTTCTAGCGTTTTTTTCTCCATGCATAGTGCATCAATTTGGTTCCTTTTATAAGTGTAAAATTCCATAAAATTTTGAAGGCAATAAGACCATAAAAACTGAAAGTTAGTGGAATATAATGAATTATAAATTTGAACAAAGAAAGAAGAAACATTGGCGCAGAATAATCTGGATCCATTATTTTGAATAAAAACAATTAACAGACATAGTACTTCAAGGTTTTCTGAGCCACAGCAGTAAAACGATTGAAGACTGATTTATGTGCCCAAACAGAATCCGCTGTTGGACTTCAATTACCCTAGTGATTCACTTCTTAGTAACTCTTTGTTTTCTAATTTTTTTAACTTATCTTTTCACTACCCCTCCCTCCATTTATTTTTCGCTTGACTCTCTTAAGAGATAATTTTTCTTGATCTTCTGAGTTCTTCTCACTGTATTACATCATCGACTTCTCATCTGACGTCATGTGCACCGAAATTCTGATCTTCTCTTGTCTAATTACATAGCTATTACTAATTTCTTTTGTTACCACCTTAACAACATAACTGTTAATAAATGTTTTCAAAAAACTTCTGTCTAACAAGATATATATTTGCCGTAACACTTTAGACACCTTGTAAATCGCAACTCTTTATTTCGCTATGACGCTCTGACAATATGCTTACCAATAGACAAACGTTAGTTAAAATTGTACACTTTTTTAATTTATTAAAGAATTCAGGGTGCACGCAAATGATGAGAACCAACGAAATAAAATGGATCCACATTATTCTGCGTCAATGTTTCTTCATCCTTTGTTCAAATTTATAAAGGGGAATCATTGTATAGAATCATAAATTGGTAGAAGTTAGAATTCATGGGTTAGCCATTGAATCGGGTTGGGTCTCAGTGGCCGCCTTGTAACCGTAGGGCCCTGGGTTCGAAGCCATGTAATGGGTGCGTACTGCCGATGATTTGCAAACTAGGCTGATAAAACAGCTGTCCAGTACTCCAGTAGTGGTTTTCAATGCTTCTCTAACTGATATCAATCCGTGATCAACTCGTCAAAGCAATATATATATATATAATAAAACAAATAATCTTCGCTTATATTTCGCAGTTCAGTTATTGATTTAAATAATTCTTTTCTGACATCTGACTCTCGCTTCACAAAATACCCGTGCTAACCTCGGTGGCATGGTATAATTTTTACATTAAGTCGTATGAGAGTAAATTCTTAGGATGTTTCTTCTAATTTTACCCGAGGATACACAAGGAAAACTTGCCAATAAAGAGGATGTTCAGTACCAGATAAGATCATCTTAGCCAGCTGCTTGTAAGAATTAGAATACTCATCAACAGTGGTGCCAGATAGTTAAGTCTTCAATGTTCTCCATATTATATAGCATAGTCTTTTTTTTAAGAAGTCCAGGGAGAAATAAGGTTTTGAGCAACAAACTAGAAGATTGAACAGAATTCATAAATTACAAAAAAACAAAAATTGCAATAAAAAAGATTAAGTTATGCCAGAAAATATGTCGCCTGCTTTATGTATGTAACAAGTCAGCAGAGGAAAAATTACGCTATTAGGCGATATTCACTTCACCGCCCTATCACAGTGTCGTCAATCTTACAAAAAAAAATTCATGCGGCGGAATAAGTCCAAGAAAAAAGGGGGAATTATAATATTTTTACTTTCATAAAATTAAAACAAAACTCACTGCAATAAATTTGTCATTAAATCCACTTAATCGCATACATTCTTTTATTTCTCTTCGTGACAGAGTACCATTTCCATCTTTATCCATTTGACGAAATTGAGACAATAACACTTCTTCATCCATTGCAAACACTGGAAAAACACAAAATGTTTTTATTATTTCAACAAATTAGACTGTTTACTCTGCTATTTAATTAATGTGTAAATGTGATCTTATTTTCTTCAAATTAATATGTATCTTGAAAATGGGTAGGTAAAAAAACTGTTTTCTTTTCCCCTACAGTGAAATTATAAAAATACTAATAATAATTATTATTCAAGTGTATTACTAATATACAGTTTCAAAATTATCCAACCGTATCGGGACAATGGACGCCTGCGCCTGACCTTGGGCTTTTGACCTAATTGGTTGTCTGTCAGTCTATACAAAGAGACTAACAATTTAAAGAAGCAGAATGCACAAGATGAAATCGCCCAAAATCAATAGACCAGCATGGTTTTCTATAGTATGAAAATCATTTTTATTCGTCCAGTTTAATTCTTCCCGTTTTTTTTTCTATATATATATATATATATATATATATATTACTGACAAAATGTGATGTGTATTTCTGTAGCATTTCGTCACTGCGACTGGTCGAGTGTGTGTACATGATACATTGTTGAATAACTAAATTATATATATATATATATATATATATATATATATATATATATATATATATATATTAAATGTGCATTATGTACGATGACAACAGATTGTATTTTATCTAAACTGTTTACAGAAATGGTTATCAAGCTTTGACATTCAGAGTAATACTCCATCGCTAGCTTCGATAATAATAATAATAATAAAATAATTCTGATGAATCCATGTAATAAGGATAAATCGATGAGCACGAACAAAGAATATATAATTTTTACTGCTCTAGTCGTTTACATGACTATATTATATTGATCTAAAAATTTTCTTTCATTTCTGACTTTAGGATCCTTACCATTTTGGATTCATCATAGAAAGCCTGATTTAATTAATTGTACTTACCCAACGATTATACTGACGGTTGACTTTCAAGTCTCTTTGATCCACTCTACTTTCTCATGTCACAACACAATGTCCTAACCACTAGACCATAGCGCCGGTTGCACAGCGGTAGAATGCTTGCCAACCACGCCTCATGCGGTCCAGGGTTCAATCCCCGGCTGACACACACTTTTACCTCGCTAAGCCAGTAATAAGACTGATAAGGAAGAGAAGGTTGAGCCTGAGGTTAGCAACCCTATCTCATAAAAATTAAGCACCACTGCTACCGAAACTTCAAGCCGCTAGCTTGAAGCCACCCTATGTTCCACCTGGAACGTGAAGGAATAAAACAACTGTTATTTTTATGTTGCTGTTTTTTTAACTTACAAGAAACAAAGCAACATGCAGTGCCGTTATTTGCTACTTATGAGTAGATTTAAGTAGTTGACACCACTCACGCCAAAAAAAAATCTTGCATTTATGCCTACTTTTATCGACACTAAGGGTGGACGATTACATGTAGATCACATATTGTGATCTCAATAATTTCTGTTTCCAAGGTAAAACTTCACCTCCATGTACTGTGAAATTTGAAAATCACGAATCCGACTTAAGCTTACATTGTGTTTCTGTCTGTCCACACCACACCGTTACTGAAAATTTCCTCACTTCATTTACTGCAGGTTATTTCTAGTTTGTTAACTTCTTAAAACTGATACTGTGCTGTTTTCTGAGCGAGTTGAGTAAACAACTTCTTCCATACTCAATTTTTATCAAGGTGTTAAATGACAAAAAACGGTGCACACTACACAGATTCATGTTTATTTCAGATTTCATTTGAATACGTCTCATCTTATTTTAATTGAATTTGAGATTTTCCCATCGATTGATTGGACCGAAGTGCTTGGCCTCAGGTTCACATGTCGGCTTCTTGTGCAGCTGCTTCGACGATGTCTGGGCATTTAATTAGGATTTAATTAGTGGATGGTGACTAGCGGTGGAGTCCAGCCAGGATGCGCATTTCATCCTATTTGGAACTCGTCACCTGGGGGTATCTGCATTCCCCAGTAAGTGATGATGTTCCCACAGAGGCTCGAACCCACTACCCATAGTTTTAAACTCCAAAGCGTTAAGCATTTGACCATCCATCAACATTCAACATTGTGGAAGCATCTGCACAAGAACCTAACGTGTCAACCTGAGGCGGAGCATTTCGGTCAAATCAATCGACGGGAAAATCTAAAATTGAACTAAATAACTAATGTGACTCGTTGCACAAGAGGTGGCTGTCGTGGCCCAAGTGGTCTAGTAGATAACGCTTTGGCGTTTGAAACTATAGGCACTGGGTTCAGGCCTCGGTGGGAACATCATCACTCACTGGAGAATGCAGGTAAATACAGTTGACGAGTCCCAAATAGGATGAAATGCGCATCCTGGCTGGATTCCACTGTTAGTCACCATCCACCAATTAAATACGCCTCATCTCAATCTGTTATTAATCTTTAAATATCAAATTGTTTAAACTACTGACCTTTATAATTTCAAACTTCATTCCTCTCGTCCATTTGCCTGAAAAGAAGGCAGATAAATGGTGAGGAAAAATTTTTCTGTGCAAAATCACCTGTGACACAAAAAGCACACATTTAGCGAGCAGGTAGGTAGTAAGAGTACATTTTTATTACTGTCACTTTGTATCGTATTAAAAGTCAATCTGAACGAAGAATATTCTTTTCCATAATTTCTCTTCAGGTTCTTACAATTATAAAATATAATATTGGTTATCGTTACAATAATGATAGCCAGTTATGCGGAGGATAAATTTTTGTGTAGAATAACAGATTAGTTATGGGGTGTGAAAATAAATAGTAGCATTCGTGTGACAAACTTGCTAGGCTGAAATCGATTACAAAATATTTCGGTAAAATGGGAGACAATGGTTATGATTAGTCATAATAGATTCGTGGAATGTGGGGTAGGAAGATTGATAAGTCAGTTCAAGGTTATAAAAGGTGTCAGGTGAGCGGCTATTAGAAAGTAATATGTATTATGGTGGAAATAGTAAGACTGCGATGAGAGGTTCATAATGAAATAATCTATGCCTGAGATGAAAGAAGAGGAGGCATATATTCAGAAAAGAGATAATATCACTAATTATAAGTCCAAGTAGTATAAATCGAAAATTCGATAGTATTGAGAGAATGTTTTCTTGGAGGGTATAAATTATAGCGAATAATAACAACAGTTGTAATAGTAAGCAAAGAAATAAAAAAAATCAAGAGGGTTCAGAGGAAGAACCACTTTTGATGAGAAGAAGAATCATCAATCTAAGATTCGCCAAGGTAGGAATATCGTGTGGACGTGTTCTTTTTGGATACAAAATTCCGTTATTTTTAATTTTGGTTATAGCTTGTAACCACACAGTATTTTTCGTACAGGTATGGAATTTTCAGCATATGAAATCGGTAGATCTTATTGCAACAGCCTCAGGTATGCGTAGCAGATGTAAGCGAACTGTCCGTGATAACGACTTCGGAATTCGATATATAACCTGAAAGCTGTGTTGACGTCGATACTATGTCCAGTATCGACCAAGTTTGACAGAATCTAGCTTTTTTATTCTGAACCAAGCTGGTAAATGTTCTCGAAATCATAGACGAACCTGCCTAATTGTGCGTCCTATATAACCTGAGCCATAGGAACAGTTGAAATGGTATATGCAAGAAGAAGAGCTAAGATTAGATGATACGTCCTTGAGTTGCCTAGTGAACACTGGACGGCTACTGAAGGATAAACTCAGACGTACAGAGTAAAAAGTTTTCTTTATCGACCTGGCTAAATGTTGCGATAGAATCTCCTCTCTTGAACTGTAGACGTAAAACAGAGGCTTTTCCTTACCGTTGCTAGTTCGTGTTTAAGACTATTGTAACCTATGTTGACCTAAGTGAACTTCTCTGGATGTCCGTTCTCACTAAGAATACCTTGGATGACCTGTAGTTCTTTCTCTATACAGTCTTTGGAACAAATGGACCTCGTTCTAAACGCTAAGCACGTGATCAGATTACGTTTGTATTTCATCGGTACGAAGCTAAGGAAGTGTATGTTCACTGAGAACCTAGGGAGAAATTATTGAAAAGAATATACTTCGTTCAGATTGACTTTTAATTCATGATATGGGAATATTTCACGCTACTAAAAGTCTCTATTGTATCATAGATTTGTTAGTACGGACTAAATGTAGCATCAAAACCCTACAGATCTTGAAAACAAGAGTGAGTGACTTTGTCAAGTAAATTCTCTTGACATTAAAATATCCCTCAAAAGGACGATTTACAGAAAACAAGCCTGTCTTATGAAACTGACTTGACCACTGCAGAAGAAGACAAGTAAAACCAATGAGGCCTGGAGTAAAAACGCTTTCATCAAAACCTAATACTAAAATAGTATTTCTTTAAAGGACACCTATTCGAAATCTCAAAATACTGATTATTGAACAAAGAATATTCTTTTCAACAGCTTCATCATCAGGTTCTACAGTTATATATATCTATGCATGATAATGATGGAATGAGCGTTAGTGACAACATAAGTGGGTCTTAAGAAGAGAGTAACTAAGATTCATTTAGGTCAGAATTCCAAAAGTTATTTGCAATTAGATTGTTAATAGATTATGGTCTGAATTATATGTGTGTATGTGGTAAGTTGTAAAATTATAATACCAAATGGAACACCAGTAATACAAAGTAAGTGATAATGAATGACAACGAAGGCACAGTAATAAATTCTCATTAGTCATGTTCACATTAACTTCAGATGGATGAGTGATCATTTCAAAAACATGGAGACAGAAAAAGGGTTGTTTAGAATTGAAATTCGTGTACGTTGCATGTATGTCAGTGTGTAAGTTAACGACTACGTTTAATCAAGTATTTGTTTGTAGGGATTTGGTTGATTGATTACAGGATTTCATCATGAGCTGACACCAGTTAAAGAATCATTGGAAAACCTGGGAGTACTGGACAACTGCTTCGTCCCAGTTTGGCACTGTTCAGCAGTACGCACCCACAACGGTGGGTTCGAATTCAGAACCTTCTGGTTACAAGGCGAGCCCGTATACCATTAAGTCACTGGGACCTAATTCACGACATAGCGCGACCGGTAGCCAATGTCTTCGGCGCGTATTTGTCCTCAAACCCAACCTACGTTTAAATAAGAAAACAAAAGGTTAGTTGATGCAAATATAATGATAACTAGGGCAGGATGAAGGGCCATATCCAAAAGGTCTTTGCGATGAGGTATTTATGAACTTGCAAACTCCACATTGGATCAAGGCAGTAATAGTGTTTGAACCTGTTTCTTCTACACACAGAGCACAAGTTGTCTCAGTAAGGACCCTCAGCCACTGAGGAAGTAACTGAAGATGAACTATGAACTGTATATGATATCTTGACTGAAAACAGCTATCTCGACAAATTTATCAAGAAACACATGACAAAAAAGCTCAAAAGGACTATTCACTATGCCTAAAGAAGAAGCATTTATACACATACATACGACT